TTGAGTTTGACATTTTGGCATACAATTACGTTTTACTTTGAGATTTGATGTTGATTTATGAACTGTGGATATGATGCATGCTAGATTGATTGAAATTTAACCTTGCAAAACTCGATATTATACGTGCACCAGAATTGAGTTTGACACTGTGATGAAACGAGTTGATTCATTTGTTAGATATGTTGATTTAAGTGGGCATAGATGTTTTCCCTAAGCCAAAGTAAATTATTTATCCTTAAACCAAATTTAGCATAGTTTAGGGTAGCTTTATAGTTGTAGGAAGATGCGGATGTGAATTTGGATTCCATGTGTAAAAAATTATGTATGGATTGTCTTAGACTAAAGTGATAAAGCTAGGTGAGAGTCTTAAGTTGAAGGTTGATTTGTTTGGATAAGTGTGGGATAGGGACATTGCACTAATCAAGGCATATACATTTGAAATTGAAAAACTTCTCTTTGAAGTCTTCATGACTCGAGTAACTAAGCCTGCAAGGGTATCTTAAAATTTGGTGCCCTAAAGTCATCTGATTTGAGAGTAATCGGTCTAAAACTCGCTACAGGGGTAATTTAGAAGGCAATCAAAGATAAAACTGCACTTAAAACAAAAATTGGTTCTCTTCAAAGCCTTTTTTACTCGAGTCAGTAAGCTTGCAAGGGTGTTTAAAATCTGGTGCCCTAAAATCATTTGATTTGGGAGTCATCAACCTAAAGCCTGCTATAAGGGTTATCTAGAAAGCTTAAGGGAGAGAATGAAAAAAAAAAAAAAAAGGAAAAAAAAACTTGTGAAAAACAGAAAAAGCAAGTGCATGAAAAGAGCAAAAGCACTAAACTCCTTGGTTAAGCTCTAACACTTATTTGAGGGAATTTGACTTTCGATGAAGGATAATTAGCTAGTTGAGTCATGGTGGTCGAAGCAATCAAATAATTGAAAAATTCCTATTCACTGAAGCATTGACTTGCAAATAGTAACATCCACCTAAACTCGAGAGGGTGAGAATAGTAATAAAATATTCAACTTTAGGTTACACACTGGGAATGAGCGAAAAGAATAAGTTTGGGGGTGTGTGAATCACCCGAGAAATGTAAGGATATATTTGACCACAGAGGGTCGAGGATTGAAACAACTTGTGCAGTCATGGTGGATTACTTATCTCTTCACACACACACACACATCGATTTTGCACTGGAAGAGTATATATTGGTTTGGCATTGTGACTTGAAGCATATTTGTGGAATAAACATCAAAATCTTGAATCCTGAAGTAAAAAGCTTGATTATCCAACCAATTATCTTTTGTATGCTTGTGTGTTCGTGGTTATTTAGATGATAATTTTGTTTGAGGACAAACAAATGTTCAAGTTTAAGGATATTTGATAAGTGTATATTATACACTTATTTAAGACTTTAAAATGATGAAATTCAGTTGTTTCTCGGATGAATTATGATCTAAATTATTGCATTTCGTGTTGGATAGGGAAAATTCAATGAAGATACAAGAAATTGAAGGAAATAAGCAAAAGTTGACAAAATTGGAGAAAATGACTAAGTTATAAGAGATCCAAAATTTGGGGACTAAAGTGCAAATACTCAAAAGTTGTGTCGGACCTCACGATGTAGATTCAAGAGTTCTTGGAGTCAATTGAATAAAGAAAGACATCAAAGGGGTGAAATATAATCAAATTATGACTACACATCAAAGTCCATCCGAAAAAATGTATGCATTGTTTTTAGACTCATATTGAGACCCATTTTTGACATTGCAAATTATAGAATTTGAAAATGGTATCTAAAGTAAAGTTATATCCCTTTGAGTTAACTTTCCAATGCATCTTGAATCACCTCGATCAGATATTGGGAGAAAAAGCTATGATGAAAAGATTAAATATTATGCAGTGCAATCAAACTGACGACAGCACTCAGGCGCTATCCCGTAGTGCCCAAGCGCTATGTTTCTGATTTTTTTCCCGAAAGTCAGTGTTTAGGCGCTGTAAGTATAGCGCCCAGGTGCTGCCATCAGCGCTCTACCGGTGATTTGTTTGCGGTGCTTAGGCGCTGACTTCTAGCGCCTAAGCACCTAGGCGCTACACCGAGATTGTCTAAGACGTGTTTTTAGGTATTTTTCAAGTCCATAAAAATCCTACTTTCTAAACAAATAGAGGAGGCACCTATAAATACATATTTCTCACACTATTCGAGGGTTCTTCACACATTAAGAGGCGAGATAACAAAAAGGAAGATTCAAAAGAGAAATTCAAGGAGAAAAACACCAAGCAATTAAATATTTGAAGCATTGATTGGAAGGGGAAAGAGATCTTGGTGTAAGAATTCTACTTTTTCTTCTATATCTTTATTACAAATCTGGTGATGTATTTTAAGATCTTATTGCATTATGAATAGTTAAATTTGTTCTTAGGGCGAATAATGTAATCAATTGGGATCATTTATATTTTCTTATTAAGATTCTTAGTTTTTAATTTTTAATGTGTTGATTTTGCTATGAATTGAATGCATTAAATTATCCGATCAATAATTTGATGATTTCTGTGAATCCTTTATGAATAGAGATATAAGTTTAGGATTTAGACCATTTAGTAAAATCCAATACATTGGTATAATGAGTTAAGATACATATACCATTTATTGTGGTCATAATTGAATTATTAGGACAAAGAACTCGTTTAACTAAGTTGAACTTGTATAGAGATATGAAATTTAATTAGTTGAATAGGCTCAATAAAAACTCGAGATGGGTAATTAAATACAATAGAAGAATTCGACCGAACATTACATTAGAATTGAGTCTTAATTTGATATGTAAAGGTGATTAATATGTGAAGTTATTCTGCCCTAACATCCATTCATTATTTGATTTTCTAGAATTTAGATTAAAATTCAAATCCTACAACTTTTAATTTGTTTTAGTCATATAGTAGTTAAAAAATTTTGAACTAGAAAATAGATCTTATGAGATCGACAATCCTAACTCGTAGGTCCACTATTACTTGTTATGATTCGTGCACTTGCGAAAATAAAATTTACAACAACAGGGATCTAGCAAATAGCTCTTCCTAGGTTACTTGATGATTCTTTCCTCAAGAACGATCTCTTTTCTTCAAATGTGATAAACTCCCAAGAATGAACTTTTCTTGCCAACTTTTTCCACTGGCTTTTTGTGGTTGAATGTGCGAACTTCCCACTAAAGGTGCAAATCTGTTGACCCCACTTTTAGTGGTGATTATGCAAACAGCAGATGTCGGGTTCACTCGCGTCCACGCAAGCAGATTCCAAAACATCTAGAACGGAGACTTGGTCGAAGGAAGTTATCACATATAAACGTGAGAGATGCTTTATGATGCAAGACAAAAATGTTCAGACAATCGATAATATGATAAAAAAAAAACGTTTTAACATAAATAAAAAAGCTAGCCTTACAATGCTTTTAGAGTCCCCAAGTTGTTCATTCCTTAGCAGGTTAGGAATGTTGAAATGAAGAATTTCGACCGGCGAATCATATTGCTGCTTTTTAGTTTACAAAGACGAGGTAAGAGATGAGAGAATAGCTGCTTTCATAGATGCAAAGAAAAAGTGCTAGAGCCCTACCAGAAAGAAATTGACTAGGTCTAGGGGAGTCCTCCCCATGGAGATTTTAGTGATAGGTTCTAGAAGAACATTTCTGGTTCAGTCTGTAACCTTTTCTCAACTCACAACAAGGCTTCTAAAAAGAATGAAATCAAGGCGTCGAAGCAAGTCCTATTTAAGGAATACGGAGGAGGTATGTGTCCTCTCGATCGCCTTGGAATCAATGGTGCAAAGTCAAACAAGGATTCTGACCGAACACGGGTTTGATCCGAATTTTCTCCCATTTATGTATATGTATCATAGACCAACCATCCCCATGGGGTGCTAAAGGTAGAGCGCCAATTGGTAGGAAAGAATTCCTTTCAAAAATCACGAGTAGGAGAGCATCGATGTGGTGAACTCAACCAAAATGAAGACAAACTAAACTCAACCCGATATGTGTGAAATAATAGAGTACAAATTGAGTGTGATTTTTAGTATATAGAGTTGCATTAAGAACAAATATTACAAGAATTCCTTATTTATAGGGTTCCGCCAAGGTGATTGACGTTTGATTGGAACAACGTCACTTCATCTCCCAGGTCGAAGTCACATCACTCTGTATGCCACACATTTGCTATGTATTTAATATATTAACAACGAGTCAATCACCCACATCCTAAATTGACAGCTTCGAAATTCATTTATTACAAACGTTACATCGATCATTCCTCAAGATTGCCTACAGATCATTTTAAAAGACAATAAGAGCTTCAACCAAATGGAACTTCAGATGGAGAGACTGCTTCAACCAATTCAAAGGGGGGTCTCCGGCCAACACGGTGAGGAACTTCGGGGCAAGAGCATCGGCTTTCCTTTTTGTTTTCTGACTTATTGTTGACTTGGTTAAATTTGCTCTCTCCCCCACGCACCACGTGGCTTGCGACGTGATCTTCGATTGGAGCCTCGGTGGCGAGGCGCAACAACTATCATATTGACTTATTTGTTCATATCATGTCCATCGATAATTTGTATATTGTAGTAGTTCTAGTCATTGAAGAACATTGTAAATTTGATAATTGAAGAGCACTTTGAAATATACCAGTTTCACTCTTTTATGTCTTGTATGACGCATTGCATTCGAGAGAGGACCAGCGCCTCTCTCTGCAAATAACTTGCATTCGCTAAGATGCCTGATCCACAGCCTTCCCCATTTGATTCTAGTTTTACCAAATCCAGCCTGAATAATCCCATCAGTGACGTTCCCCAGATACGCCATATGGGAATACAAATTTTTTAAACAGCTGATCAGAACTATGTCCAGATGAGAAATATGCAATTTCATGCCTTCGCAAATTACGCGTACATATCATTGAGCAGAGCATATTTGGTTCATTTTCGTGCTCAGAATAGTAAACTCAATTAAATATAAAAACACCCACAAAAAAAAAATTCAATAATTTGTAAAAACAGTTCTGTGAGTAGAAAAGACAAGTATGGCACAATTTGAATGTTACAAGAGAAATGTGTTGCTACTTTCCCAAAATAAAAATTGATAATGCAAGCATATATGTAATTAAGCACCAAAGAATCTTAAATTTTCCCATCTCTCCTTTTTGATAGAACACGTGATGTTCTGGCCAGGAGCGGAACTAAAATTATGCTGCGACTAAATCAGGGGTTTCTGCCTCAACAGATAGTAAGGCGGTGTGAACTTTATCCATCCAATTGTCCAGACGGCCACGTAATGACTTGATCTGAGGAATCCCCAAAACTCTGGGTTGAACCCAGGAAACGTAAACCGTTCCCTCAACCTGATCAATAATTCCTTCGATTAGATGCACCTGTAAAATAATGAAACAAACAATTACCACCCTTCAGAAAGGTTCCAAACGCCAGCAAGAAAGTAATTTTCAGTAATTATACTTCGTTAGAAAAGAACTAAATACTCCAAGTTAACAACAAATAACTCGCATTACTGTTGGATTTATTTATTTATTTATTTATTATTATTATTATTATTTTTGCCAAAAAGGAAAGAAAAACACTTAATACACCAAGTATAATATTTGAATAGACAGTCTATACACCCAAAGACTTCGATACAAAGAAAAGCCAAGCATCAATTGCACTAATATGACTTGAAATTATCTTCAAAGTCTTCTTTTGTGCAACCACGTGTTTTTTATGCATAAGGTTTCCATTAGAGGGGGTAAAAAAAAGAAAAGAAAAGCTTGATAGCAAATTCATATGGGTGTATATCACAGACATATAATAAAGAGATAATTCGACCACAAGCATACTTAGTAGAACCTTAACATTTTTAGCTTGAAAATTAGTAGTTGCAAAAAATTATAATTTAAAAATTGTCAACCACATTGAGGATGAGTGAAAAAAGGTACTGTAAAGACAAATTCTAATTGAAAGAAAAGGGAACACACGTGCTTAATGCTAGCAGTATAATGCAAAGTAGAAGACATGTTCTTAATTAACTTATAGCTTAAAGATAAGTAGAAGTGAGTGTTCTTAATATAAAAGAAATCGTCTAGACAGTGGAAGTTTGCAGGAACTTTACAATTGATGTTTCATAATTAGTAATTCTTGAATCTCCTGTCTTATTAGGTCTACTATTACAGAAGTCCATCTGCATTTGTTCCAAAGCATCTTATAGCCCAAGAACCCCATTTTTAGTTCGCATCAAGAAAGCGTAAAGTCTAGTTAAACAGGAGAAAAATACTAAACAGTTATACAGGCAACTTCACTTAGATTAAATGAAATCAATCGTCACACACATATTTTTCTAATTATTAACATCTCCCTCAAGTTAAGTTGTTAAGTGGGACCAATGAACACTCTCGCTCAATACCTCAAAACCAAAGGACATAATCACATACCATCAGTAAACCATGCAATCATGGTAAGATGGCATTTTTATGGTCATTCATGTCAACAAGGAAGCCACGGAACTAACAAAAAATATAGTTATTGCACTTACTGAAAGGCTCTTCATAAGAAGATGCTCCACGTCTTCTACAGTAAGTTTTGTCCCTTCAGCTATGACACTTAATGCAATAGTTCTATCTTCTGATGGACGACTGTAGGTAAACACGTTATCTCAGAATTTAGTGAACGAAGCACACTAGAAACAAAGTAAGTACCTCGATCAGAGAAGTAATCCAATATATCTCCCAACTCACCTGAAGATAGTCTCCATCAAGCAGAGAATGTTAATTTTCTCCAGTAGGTTTTTCTCATTCTGCACTAATGCTGGTTGGGAGCTCAGAGCAGCTCTATGAACCTGGCACAATTCTTGATAACGAACCAAGTCGCCAGAGTTGAATGCTTCCAGAATATAGTATAGCCATTCTACCTTAGTCCCTATGAGGCTTTTTACCTGCAGAGGCCAAAACAATCAGAATCCAAACTAGTAATTAATCCGATCAAGGCATTTTCGAAAAGGGCATGATGGAATGATCAAATTTTCAGATCTATGCTGATCTCGGCCACTACGGAAAAATGCAATGAAAACTCAAACTGCCACACTGTGGTTGGAAATACTTTCAGATTGACTTTTAAGCCATAGAAGCCTATCCAAAAACATTATATTTGTTTAGTGAGCAACCATGAAATGGGGCTAGCCTTAAAAGATGATGCCCTGCAAATTCCATGATACCGTTGAAAACTTACAATAAAAATCTGATAGTCTTCCTTTCTTCATCATGACCTAGTTTCAGTAATATAACCAAACATTCTTCATTTCATGCAAAGTACATCTTAAAAAAGTGCAATAGAAGTCCATCTTTGAAACTTATTCTCTCTTTCAAATCTGAAGAACTTTAGATTATTAAAGACTAGAATAAGCAACAGAAAGAAAATAGAAAGAATGAAGCAAACAGGAAGACATGATGGCTGGTTGATGTTCCTGAATATATAGCACACAAACATATTTTCAACACATCTTTAAACGGCATTGTATGCAAACATATTTTCTGCCTCATCCTATTTACTCAGAAATTCAATAGCAAACTGCAATAGTTTACAGCACCCAGCCTATTGTATCTCATTTGATGATGAACAATGGCAAACCAAGAGCCATGGTCTCATTTACGCCTGCTTATTTCCTTTTATACTCCCTTCCTCCACAATTGTTAACGCCCGTTTGATTTTCACAGGCAATTGCAGAAGTTTCATACATAACTCATTACCAGNATTGAAGCATGACACGTACAATCTGACACGTGATTTTTCGGAAAATTAGTCCACATCGCATTGATTGAGATATTTTTACTTCAAAGTCGTCATCTAAAGCAATTTAGTATTTTTTTTTCAATGTGGGGATTATTTTTTATTTTTTTTAATTAAACAGTGTTTTTTATATAGATATGCTTTGTTTTTGCAAGGGAAGATGTTCTTTTGACTTTTAATATTATAGATTATGGATTGTTCTGTCATATACACCTCATACTAAGTATAAGGGCAGATTGGTTCCTAAAAAAGTAGAAGGGCAGATTTGTTTTTTGCTTTCAGTTTCTATTCAAATATCAACATTTCAGATTTTAAATTAAGGTTTCGTCCATTTTCATTATCCTCTGGTTCTGGTACAATTTTTATCCACCAGCGACTTTGTTTTCATGGTCTTCGACTATCATCTCCTCTAAAAGAGTATTATATTGCGATTCAAGAGAAGTTTTTTTTTCTTCCCCCATATTGCCTTTTCTTTTCTTTCGCCTTTTGGTTTCAATGTTTCAATTTGCCTGCCTGACATGCCAGCTCTGACAACGTGTCTGTGCAACCTATCCAAAATGGGAAATATTACATAAAATGCGACTCAGGAAAACCACTGAAGAAAGTAAATGTGAACATTCAATTATGGGATTAAAGGTGTGTGTAAGCCCCATTATTTTGAAAGAATGTATTTTGGAATGGTAGATTGATGATGAATGTGAGGTTAAAAAATAGAGAAAAGTTTTTGATTTGCGTGTAATATTATTTTATTGAAGAATGTGTGGTTAAAATAATGTCAAATCATTATTGAATAATGTATTTTTTTCAAAGAATGTGGCTCAAACAGGGCCTAAAGGAATGTTCACTTTATGCTTATCTACTAGCAGACGTACCATCATATCAAGAATTATAATTTGGTTAAGGAAAGAGGACAATCAAGATTAGAAGTTTCAAGTATCAATAGACTTTTCATCTAAAAGCTTATATACAGTCATTTAATACATAAATTTTAACTATAAATCTATGCTTGTCTGCTCAGTTGGCACACAAAAATTAGATAAAAACTACATTGAAATTCGTAATGGCTCTTGACAGCACCACAAATTGAAAGAATGCCTAAAATTTAGTTTCCTGTTTTAACTGTATAATTATCCTATAAACCGTCAACATCTACCATATAACCATAAGTATGATAAAAGCAGGTAAAGAATCATTTTATAAATCTATGCTTGTCTGCTCAGTTGGCACACAAAAATTAGATAAAAACTACATTGAAATTCGTAATGGCTCTTGACAGCACCAAAAATTGAAAGAATGCCTAAAATTTAGTTTCCTGTTTTAACTGTATAATTATCCTATAAACCGTCAACATCTACCATATAACCATAAGTATGATAAAAGCAGGTAAAGAATCATTTCGGGATCCTTAATTTATGCTTGTCTACTGAACAAGTAATCCAAATATCAAGGTCCAAACACATGCTATCTGACACTTGTGGCCAAAAGCAACATGATATACAAACAATTTTGCCTGTCTTCTCATTACTCAATCACGTAGCTTGTGAATGGGCAGGCCTTCATAAGATATTTCATACGCAAAAAAAAATCAGAATATCAAGTTCCATCCCACTAGAATGCCTGGCGACATCTTTTAAAATCCAACCCTCAATGGTGGTAACATTAGCATATGTTACATAACACTTCAAATGCACCTTGAGTACCCATAGTCTTGTGTGAATCTTGCACTTAATAGACATTGTTTTCCACAAGCTGATGATTTCTCTCGAAATCTAGTTATGTTTCTTTGTATGATGTATGAAGTGTCGATAATTAAAAGTGCCTATTTTCTAGTTTGAGTCCATAATAAGCAGCCATTTTCCTTCAGGAACAGAGGTAGGCAATGTGGGGGAAAAAAAAAGAGAGAGAGAAATGTTCTGAAACCTAAATAAAGATGAAGACTTTGAATTTGAAACAGAAACTGAGAATACTTTGATCTAATGGAAGATTCCAATTATTTATCAGCAAAAGAAATTAAGAGAGAGTGTAAATTATTGCAATTGAACAATTACAATCTTTCATGAAAAGTGAATCACGCAACTTCTTCTAACATTTCGACAATTTTAACCTAAAAAGGAAGCAAAAGAAAAGAACTTTCAAAACAAATGCTTTTCCTTCGCCATTTTACCATAAAGGAAACGATGGTGCTAAGTTATGCCATTATTGGTTCTTAACTCTAAGTTATGCCATTATTGACTCTTAACTCTAGTCATCCATTTAGTGGATAGATGGAAAATGCTAAAAGCTATTACCTTCTACTAACGCTGCTACAATCCATTAAATGCGGCTTAACCAATGCTAGCAAATGCCAAGTCACATTGGTGTTAAATGTCACTTAGTAAAGCAACGCAAAAAAGTCCAATTTTCGGCTTCTATCACGAGAGAGAAAAATGAACACATATGCACAAGCACATACACACCACAAGCATATGAAACCATAACCTTTGACACAGGAGTGTCACTGTATTTCAGCCAAGTTTGTTTCCTCTCAGACGTTTCCAGCTAACAAATTTTATACGGTTGAAAATATCTCCGAGTCTAGTTTCATACATAAAAACGGTTCGCAATTTTGATTTGTCTATATGGAGATATGAGCATTTTCTTAAGCATTGCACAACTGCCTTCAACACCCGCGGGAATTGGTGTTTTTGAACAACTCTTCAGATCATTTTCTAAATTAATGTCTTTATTTTCCAATAAGTATACCTTGTTCTTAGTCCAATTCTTCTCATTTCCTAGGCTTGGTAATTAATTTATTTTTATTGGGAATGCCTATGGTTAGGGATGTTCTAGCCTACAGTAAAAGGCAGATTTGAAGTGTGTTTTATTCAGCATTTAGCTTCTTAAGAAGAAGGATTTCTTCTTGTTCTTTACTCTTATCTCATTGGTGGACTCCTTTGGGTAGTGGTGTTCTTGTGTTAGTTCATGTGTCTTCCCTACGTTTCCAATGTCATATTGGTATCAGAACATCAGGTTATGGCTGGTCTACGAAGACATAATGCTCCTGAACCTCCAGCACATGAGCATAATATCCATGATATTAAGATGGATGATTTATGAAGATAAGTTCAGCAACTTCAACAGTGCCTTGAACATTTAGAAACACTGGAACAAAACAATGTCGGTCATTATGTGGAGCATGCATCAGATGAAGCCAACCCTTCTTATCAAAATCAAAGAAAGCAGTCCAGCGATGAGGAAGACAGATGAAGTAACACAAGAACATATAGTGAAAGATTAACTCGCCACCCAAAGGAGTCCACCAATGAGATAAGAGTAAAGAACAAAAAGAAGCCCTTCTTCTTAAAAAGCCAATTGCTCAATAAAACACACTTCAAATCTGTCTTTTACTGCAATGAAAAAAGAGTACTTATAGGCTAGAACATCCCTATAACCATAGGTATTCTTGATTAAAAATAAATTAATTACCAAGCAATTTTGATAATGAAGCAAGAAAAGTCAAAGGAAGAAGAGAACGTATTGCAGACATATAACTTACAATTGGATGTGCAAGGAGTTCTCCAAAGTTGTAAATGTTTTCCCCCAACAATGCAGATAGGGACAAATTAAATGCCAAATCCTGGAAACAACAAAAAAATAGTTCGCTTTACATTTGAAGTAGAAATGCCAACATCTTTCCACCAAAGAGCATTTTGTAAAAAGAGATTTGAGGTTGAACATGACTAGCTATCCGCTAATATAGAACACTTACATGGATCGTAAATTATTATGATAAAAACCACAAAATACATAATTATGAAAGCTAACACAAATTACTAATGATGGCCTAAAAATCATACCAAGCAGCCCGTCATCCGAATATACCTATTGGAATTTACAACATTTACAAACCTTTTTAGATAAGTTCTCGTGACATAAACTGAGAATCAAAGATTTTGCCATAAGATAAAATAAAAAAGCAATAATCCATGTTAATTAAATGAATAGCACAGGAAAACCTTTAGACGTATGCAAAAAAAAAAAAATTCTGTCATTATTCTCCCCGGGGTGGGGGGGGGGGGTGAAGTTACCAACAACAGAGAGTCCAGATTCGTAGGAAGGTCGTCAGGTGAAATAGAAAATACAGCAGAAATAGAAAAACAGCACATTAAAATAAAGGACTTAGCTCCCTCTTTACAAGTGATTTCTGTCTAACAAGTTAAGCTTAAGAAGTTCTACTTCAACTACACAATAATTGCATGTGTAATCCCTAAATCTAACATATAGCACCTACTTCTTAATGACTGTGAATAGAACTATAGGACATAATTCGTTCTCAATAGCCATCTATCAAGCACTCAAAAAAGTGGTCTTCATTTTTTTACATGAGACACAATTTTTTAATGAGAGGAACCTTCTCCTTAAATTATTGAAAAGAAACAAGATATATTAGCCTACCAGCTTAAATGATTCTGATAGAGACTTCACGGAAGTGTAAGCCAAATAAAGAAGAGAGCTTTTATAGAACTCTGCAAATTCTTGACGAGATTTATGAAATTGAGATGAAACCCAATAGTAGCTAGCATACACAGAAGGGTCAATGTCAGTCATGCTATCAAGTGTAGTCTTCCCATTCTCTAAGAGTTTCTTGCACTCTTTCTGATCTCCTTGCTCAAGCTTAAAACTAGCAATCTGCATCTTGATATAAAGAATAGGCTCCTCTACGCGCATCTCTTTAGTATTACAAAGCTTTTCAATCACTCCTTCAAGATAATTTATGGCAGCCTCTTTCTCCGAATACTGCCGAGAAACTATGACAGCAAAATGAGCAAGCTTGAGGAGATTGATCTTTGTCTCGAAGTCAGTTATGAAATTGTGGTACAACTGTATCAGAGCATCACCGGCCTGAAATTAGAAGTAATGAAAGCGTGTTAACTGTAAATTAAAATGAAACATAAGAAACAATATAAAGAGAGAAGGAAAATTCAACATGTTGTATATGCATTCACGATTTTATAATCTAGTACATAAGAAAATCAGTAAAAACTTCAGAAACTTAGCAAAAAAGGAGGAGATAAATTGTCTGCAATGCCATTAGCATCTAGAATTGAAGTAAAAAGGGAGATGGTTACAAGCTTTCTTGCTTCGCTCTAAATAGTGACATGGAGCGTAGCTCCCATCCTAAAAATGGATTTATCAGCTTCCAGCCAAAAAAACTTAGATTGTTAATAATATTTTGAAATGGCAAGACAAACCAGAGCACATCTCAGTCGACTCAAGGCTTATAATTGAGGCATGCATATTAGTAAGCAGTATGTACAAGCATAATTATGGATAAATGGTACTCAAAGCACTAGCTTCAGGGGGTTGAATGAAGGTCTCAGGTGGGCACCGCTACAGGCATAAGCCTTTGGCTTTTTTTCTTTTTTTTCTAAAACAATGAACATGAATCTTCGACATGAATATGTTTCTAACGAGCAATCAAAGACGTGTATGTAATGAAATGTACAGTACATTAAAACTAACTTTTATAGTCATAAATCCATTAGTAAATTTCCAAACCTTGATTGACATGCATCATTAAATGAGCATTTTATCTTTAAAAGAAATTAATAATATGATGAACTCAACTATTATTTTTAAGATATTAAGCATAGCCAAGGGATTTTATCATCAATATTACTCGTATACAACTAACATTTTTTTCTGTAAATGTTTTTCCATTTGCCTTAAGAATAAAATTACTTTTTTTAGTAACAGTTCATTCATGATTCATCAACTGAAATGAAATTTAGTATGTTGAAAGATTTCTCAAATCAATAAACAAACAAATAATATTAGGCAGTAGGAAATAAAGACAGGAAGGACATGAGATTCTTAGTGGGAGCTGATGACAATGAGAAATCATCTCCTTCAATCATACACACAATGAACAAATTCCTAATATATAGCCAATACCCACAAAGAAGAATCAAGACAAAACAAAAACAGAAACGTGGCACTGAAAAAAATGCCATGAATTATGTTAAATAGCAACTCAAGACAAAACAAGTAGCCAGCTTTGCACAACAAAATGCCATTAACTTTGTTATATTTTGACTCAGGACAAAATAAACAACCAAAAGTTGCATGACAAATGCCGTTAATTTTGTTTAAATCTTGAATCAAGACAAAACAAAGAGCCAAACTCGGCATAATAAAGTTCCATGAATTCTGTCAAACCTTGAATCAAGAGAAAAAATAAAAAAACAAAAAACAAAAATCCGAACTTTTCACATCAAAATACCATCAAATTTGTTAAATCTTGACTTCGGACAAAACTAAAATCCGAATTTTGCATTGCAAAATGCCATGAATTTTGTTAAATTTTCTCCATTTATTTTCTCATAGACTTCTAGCCTTGAAAGTTTTTATCAAACAGATGGTTAGCGTATAACATCAGGGAAAAAGAAGGCAACATTCCCATTTTCTATGGGAAAAATTCAAATTTCTCCCTCTCGTTGAACATAAGAATAATCATCAACACACTACCCAATAACACATAAAAAACCTGAAATCCTAACCCTACATAAAACACCGGAAGCCCTAACATTTAAAACAAAACATATTCACAAATCCAAAGAAAAATCAGGTAACCCGCTGAATAGAAACAAAACCTTAAAAAAATAAAAAATAAATAAAAGAAAAAGAAAAACATGTCAAGTAATTGAAATAAAAAAGAACCAATAGATCATCAAATACATAAAACACGCATTTAGATGTGGGAATTGGGACCTGAAAGACGGCGAGGGCGACAAACTTTTCCAGCTTGAGGGTGAGCTGGTGCCAGAGTTTGCGCTGGTAGAGATCTGCAAGCGTGTTGTACCACTCAGAGAGCTCAGGGTGAGTACTCCGCAGGATGTCCAGATACTGTAGAGCCGCCATCGCTTCTTCCACTACGATTTTGTGCTCAGAATCCGATATATGCTACAAAGTAATGGAGGACTACCTACTCAACTGTAGATAGAAGGGGGAAAGAGTCGGGGTAGTGGAGTCATACGTGGGATTAACCGCATGATTTGTTACTAAGGCTCGTTTGTTACTCATTATGTAAAAATAAAAATAAAAAATATAATCATTACGAATTTCACAAAAAAAATAAAAAATTAATTACGATAATTTGATTTGATAGATAAAGATCATTTTTTTTAATTTTAATGGACAAATAATGGAAAATAAACGGAGGCTAAACTCTGACATGAAATTCCTAATAATTGAATTTAAAAATGTATACGAATGGTCACTAATTTTTTTAAGTATTAGTATTTCATAATTGAACTTATTACTAAATCACGTACCATGTTACTCGTTCATCAATTGAAAGAAAAAATTCGTTAAGTTCAATAAACAACTTGACTTAAGTGATAAATTGATAATGCGGTGTATAATTTAGTGAACATTTAAATATATTTTTGAGATTCAGTTATGCAATGATAACAATTAGCAAAGTTTAATAACCATTGAAATACATTTTTCAAGCTTAGTTATTAGGTAGTAACAATTTTTTTTTTCCTCAAATAGACCTTTGTGAAATAAAAAATTAAAAGGGTGTTTGGTGGAAAGTAAAATCAGATTTTTAGTAGATTTTGATAAAAAATTTTAAAATGTGTGGTTGAAAATTTGTGAGACCCATGAAAGATTTGATTGTTTAACTTTGACTTAAACTAAAATTATATTGTAATTCAAACCAGTCAAGGACTAAAGAAAATGAAGGGAAAAAAGTTGAATAATCAAATCGACCTCAATTATATTGACATTAATTCGAACATTTTTATATATTTTTTAAAAAAATTTCCATCATTTTCTTTCAATCTTCCTACTATTTGTCTTTCAATCTTTTTATACAAAGTTCGAGATACAGTAAACTGATACCAGTTGATCTAAAAATCAAACTTACTTTTCATCATGATAGGGACTATATATCGAATAAGAATAAAACTTTTCCTCTTCATTTTCTTTAGTTTTTTCTTTCACTGAAGTCGATTTGAGGAAAAAATAAATTGTTAATACTTAATAACCGAACTTAAAAAACGTATCTCAATGATCAATAAATTTCACCAAGTGATACTGCTTCATAACTAAACTCAAAAATATATCCCAATGGTCACTAAACTATGCACTGCATTATCCATCAATTACTCAATCAATCACTCAAATCAACGTCGTTTTTTGAATTTAATGGATTTTTCAATTTGAGTTGTGGATGGATAACATGGTGCATAATTCAGTGATCATTGAGATACATTTTTGAATTCAATTATAAAGTAATAACACTTGGTAAAGTTTAGTGATCATTGGGATACATTTTTAGTTCAATTATCAAGTAGTAATATATGACAAAGTTCAGGACCTATTCATGTAATTAACCCATTATATATGTGAGTGGGGCTGTCTTTTCTTTTCGAGAAAGAAAAATCTGTGCAATTTACATTAGCACTGACCATTTAATCTCGAACCATTCGAACTTTCAAATCAGTTTATGCACATTTTAGTCAATATCGAACCTCCCAACAGGGTTCAAAAAATTTAGAAGTTGAAATTTATTTTTGATCGAGTCTTGAACGAGTTCTTGAACCTGAATAATTATCATTTTTATATTTTTATGTTTTACAATTTATTCACCTTGAACCATTAAACTGGCACAACATATAACAAGTTTACAAAGCTCTTCAAGTAACAAGTTCGGAATATTGTAGTAGCAAGAACTGTAAACAATCAAATTAATTCATTTGATATTGAATCATACAACTCTCATTCATATTCACTATAGACCGCATCTTATGCACAACCAACCTCCAAAAATCAATCTTGGGGTGTCACATGGGGAGCTATAGTTGAAATTCGATGATATTATATTAAATACTCGATGTTACTTGGTAACATATTTTATGGCGGATTAAAAAAATTGTTAAAATATATATTTGGTGACATTGTAATTTGGGAATGTAATTTGCATGGTTGGGGTATGGTTTTAGAAAATGTTATGAATAGAACCAAATTCGAATCAGAATCAATGATTAGAGCTCAATTTCAAACTTTAGTAAACTATAAGTCAGTTAAATAGACTGCACTCGATCTTTGCATACTAAAGTTCAATAAATAACAAATATTATTTCAAAGACACAACAAACTACTTTTACGAATGTATTAGTATGTTTAATACTATACATTCAGTAATTTGAAAATTTTGGATACAACAAATTCATCCTCTACATATCTGAATGATGATGATGATGATGATGATGATGATGATGATAATAATAATAATAATAATAATAATAATAATAATAATAATAATAATAATTAAGATCATATCATATCATCTTACAGAAAAATTGTTTACATTCTCAATTTCTCATCGGTAAAAAAATGTGCGAACAAGTAGAAATGCAACAAACTACTCAAAGTTGAATTCTACAAGTTCAATAAATGCAATATGCACCGACAAATGTCTAGCACAATGTAATAAAAAAAAAAAAAATTAGTAGTTTCTATTGTCCACAAATAAACTTTTTTTATTATTTAAATAATTTGTCATGGTATACTTTATTTGTTTTTGAAAAATAAAATTACTAAACGATTTGGTATGATATATCAAAATTATTTGAATATTGGTGTAGACCCTCAACCAATAAGACGAACAAGAATCATAACACTGCAAATGCAAATAAAAACGTGAAACAAAATCTAGCCTTGTTATTTTCATATGGGAAATGTATTTTTTTTTAGTTTTTACCTGCTCTATTTTATTTTTTCCTCATCTTTTTTATTTTTTATTTTTAATTTTAGGCACAAGACACTTGAGATTTTCCATACATGATGTAAGGTCAAACAATGTTTATTCAATCGAATGCCATAATTAAATCTCTAAAAGTCATGACGATACCACCATTATGTAATTCAGCTTTGGTTCCATCTATGTTCTTGAGACGGTTAGAGCTTACATTTTGTTTAGGGTCATATATCAATCATGATATATACTACCATGTGTTTCTTCTTACATTGATAAGACAAGAAATAAAACCTCTATCTCCCAAAGTATACATGTGGGTCGAGTTTGTCATTCTTAAGCTACGTAACTGGTTGAGATGGAGCGCAAAATCCTAAGCATAAAAGGGCAAGAAAGAACATCATCAACCTTTAAGCAAATATTATGAGAAAGCATCAAATTGAGAATTTAAATTTAAATACCAGAAAGCATCAAATTGAGAATTTAAATTTAAATACCAGACTCTTCGAGCAGCTTAAGGATGCTGTGTTCTGGGGCACTAACTGATGGCAGAGTAACTCGGTTAGTGGGTCGAGGTTTTGTTCCAGGAGTAATGGATTCTACAGGAGTTGTTGGTTTCGAAATGACCTGCATATCAGTCCTCCTTTGAACACCTGAAGACACTCTCTCCTTCCCCATTCTTCCATCCTGATGACCAAAGAAATATAGAATCAACTGTTCCCAGAGGAGAAATTCTATCATATCGTCATTTCTGACTATAACGACCTAAACAATTGTTAAATCGCCACCCAATTTATAAAAACTTTATATTATACTGCAACCTAAAGAGGTTGCAAATTTCAACAGCTTTTCAAAGATTTCTTCCTCTCTTTTACAC